CGGCTCCACTTTCCCCGTAGCTCCTCGGGAGGCTGAGCCCAGACTTTCTCTGCCCTAATTCCCCGGGAAACCAGGCGAGGGCTGATCCTTGTGCGGCTGTTTATTGTTTTCTATAAATCTTGGATTTCTACAGAGCTTGGAGAGGATTTTTGGGAAAGCCACAGGCTCGATGTTAGGGGAAATCAAGGTGCGATGTGCCCGAACTGCCCCATCCCCAGGGAATCCCATCACTTCATCTATCAGGCAGGGATTTAACGCGGAGTATTTGCTCCCAGAGCATCAAACGCTGGTTGTGAAACCCGGGCACGGCCGGGGCTGCGGAGGAGCTCAGGCGGGCGTCAGGGTGTTTGGGGTCGGTCCCCACGGCTGGGTTGTGGATGGGGGTACGTCCACTGGCCATGTGTCCCCCCCTGCTTGCCGAGCCTCTCGGTCCAAGCATCCGGATAAAAGGGAGAGACAGAAGGGATCCGGGCTGGGGGCATTAACACCGGCTCGGCTGCCTGGGGTGTGGAAAGCCCCCTTGGCTCCACATTTCTCCCCCCCGCGCCAGCCACCCCTTTCAGAGCGAGCTTCGGGGATGAAACCCCGTGCCAGCTGCAATGCATCAACCTATAGACGGGCACACGCGTGCTCCCACGCACGCCCGGGCTTGCACACGCGTGTACACGCGCAGCCGAGCTGGAGTTGGGGCCGGCTGCTCCAGGAGACCGGGTGCGAGTGGCATTTCAATGCAGTCCAGGCGGGAACAATGAGGTGTGTTTTTAAGGGACTGTGAAAGGGGGTTTTTTGCTGAAGGACTGAAAAGGCGGCAGGGGGAGGAGGGAGCCGGGCAGCCCCTCCATTAGCTCAGTGCAGCAGCGAGAACAGCTGTGAAAAGAGCCCAGGCCTTTTTCCCACGCCCAGAGGAGCGGAGCGAGGGAAGGAGCCCTCCCAGCGAGGTCAGATCCCATCACTAATATATACACAGGCTGTGCCCTCATTCACGTCACCCCGGCGCAGGTTTGTTTAAGGCACACACACACTGACACTATTTTCTCCTCCTCCTCGCTCCCCCAGCCGGCCCCATTATGGTCCCCGCTGCATTAAACCCTCCTCGTGCCCCGGCGACGGCTGGCAGCACTGAGGGGTT